CTTGTGTTCGAACACCGCTGTCTACGTAGCATTGCACAAGTCTGGTGGGGAAACCGGATGAGGAATGCTGAGGTTAGGCGTAGAGTTTTAGATAATCGCGGTCGTCCACTGGAACAGGTAGTCAACCTCCATGGATTATGCTGGTTGGGACATGTGCTACGCATGCTACCAGATAGGTTGCCACGGCGAGCGATGATTGGTGAGGCAGGTAGCGGTCGGAAAAAAATGAAGGGCGGTCAAGCCAAGACCTGGCATGAGGGTATAAAAACCCTGACCAGGAGACTGGCTCACATAGGTCCCGTTAGGCTCCCTGGATGGGGACGCAGAGATTATGGCCACCGGTGGTTAGAGACACTAAGTGATATAGGTGGGTGTCGCAAATAGTGGCACTCATGCATCTACTCATCATTCTTGTAAATTCAGTCTATGAAAATATGCTACCTTCCGGTTAAATCATCTCTCAACATTCTAATCATCATTCTGCTATTTTATCCAAATGGGCAACCAAAAGACAGCAACCAAAACCGGCGCACGAAAGTGTGTGGTTCATGGTTGTAAGAACTGAACTTAACAGTTCGTTGTCCAATGGAAACAGCATTACCCCCTTACCTAGTGTGCAGATCTTTCACCAAACCTGTTACATATTCGGATAAATTTGTCCTGATCCCGTTCCATGTCGTTATCGAATCACAGGGAACGATTATTTTGTCATGACGGTTTCGATTGATGCCTGATAATGAGAATTGATCTCGCACTGAACCCGAACGCAAGGGGCTCGATCAATGCTCTTAGGGCAAACACGAGCCACCACCGAGAACACCGCTAATAGTGACACAGTGCAAGACACCTGTTGATTGTCTTCTTTGTACGCTTGGTATAACCACTGTGACGGTGGTTGTTGCAAGTGTCTGGATGTACTAAAATAGCACGAACTTTGATTCGCTCGTCGGCTGCACGTTTTTATCCCTTGTGGTTCTGGTGTCGTTTATCTGAAAGCAATAATTGGGTTGGTTCAGCTCCAAACCGCCGTAAAACTGGAGAAGTAATAGAACAAGTGGGCAAATATTGTCAGCTAGACAGCTATATCTCACCTGTCGGAGACGTCCGCCCGTATACAAAAGGCTTGATTGACATTCGCCAACTTGAGATATGTGTGGCGTCGTCTCGTCACTCGATTATCTGTGAAGGATTGAATGTTTACTGCAGCAGTTTGGCCTGTACTGATTGACGGTGCAGAATCTTGACGAAAATGAAAATATGCTAAAGATAGATTGTCAGTGTTCAAACGATGCTGTCTGCGCCGCATCGCACGAATCTTATGGGGATAACGGGACAAGCAATGCCAAGGTTAGACGCAGAGTTTTGGGTATTCGCGGTCGTCCACTTGAGCAAGTGGTCGACCTGCATGGATTGCGTAGGTTTGGGCATGAGTTACGCATGTCACCAAATAGATTGCCACTCCGCGCGATGTTTGCCGAGACTGGTAGTGGATGGAAAAAAGTCATAATGATCAAACTACTATCTGACATGAGGGTGTAAAAACCCTAACCAGGAAACACGGTCATATAGGTCGCCTTAGGCTTCCTGGATAGGGACGTCTTTATCAGTGTAATCCATGGTTAAAGATACACAAAATATGGCTGAGTATCGTAAACAGTGGCGCTCGTGGATCTCAATCTTTTTCCTAACCTTAGTTTACCGTAATTCTTCATTTTCTCTTCAATACTGATTTCAACATTCCAATCTTCTCTTCCAACTGGGCAACCAATATCACTGTACGAAATCCAGTTGCTAATGGTTGTTCCAACTGAAATTGAAAACTGGGTTGCTTGTGTAAGACGACGGTGCAGTGCACATTCGGCTACTGATTGGAGTTCAGTCAAGAAGCACGCACTCAAACTTAGCACAGTGCTATCCGAACACCAACAACATCGCGAGCGTCGGATAGTCTGGCACATGAATTGTTGCCGAACAACCGATTCAGCGATGTAGCTGCCGAATAACCAGTTATATGTTGATAGAACTACGGTATCACTCTCCACTCTGCATGCGTGTTCGTTCGTGATCATCATCATTTTTTTGAGTAGGCTTACTGCGATTACTGGACATTTGTTTCGTTTTCGTTGGGGTTCCTCAGCAGCACCTTCGCTGCTTCGGACTCGAACTGTAAACCCTCGATTTTGAATCGGAAACCTTCATCTCTGAGCTCCACGATTGATGGCCGGTACTGGTGCTCATGCCTATGTAGACTAAAGATGTTTTCGTTTTGATTCCATGCGAGTGGGTAGACAGGTCTGTGCACTGTTGTTAACCTTGTGTCTGTGAATTCACATGCAATAAAACAAAAACGTCTTCAACTTCGTATATCGATTTCGATAAATTTGATAAATAGTGAGACGACTCTACTTGCTTTGGATTCGTACTGCGCGAGGTTGTTGGGAAGACCGTGCGGAATTAGAGCACCTTATTGAAGCTGATTCTCACTTATCTTGTAGCTCGCATAGTGCTTACGTAGCTTTTTCACAGCCATACACAGACTTTTAATAGTTACATGGGGAAAACATCCAATGGTTAATCTAAAGTTCACGGTACACACCGGAATCGAACAGAACGAGGTATATTTCGGTAGACCGGTAAAAATTAACAAAAATTACTAATGCACCTGTCGTATTCACATCATGCACCTCGTAGTGTAGAATGGTGTT